CCATCATCCGGAGGGCGATGGAAGCTGCGCGCTGTCATCGCCGTCAGCGCAGCGCCTGGAGCGTCGCTGCTGTTTTTGCCTCCAGCGAAGTAGGTTGTCGGCGGCCTCGAGGTCGGGAAACAGTAGCTTGGCGACGAGAAAAACGTTTGTAGCTGTGGATGTTTTCCGGCTTCAGTGTCTTTTGTCTTTTATTGGAAATCTCCGTCATCATAGGGCATTCGTATATGTAATGTAAATAAAAGTATGTAATGTTCATACGAGGCGCAAAAGAGGTAAATCCAACATTCGATTTTATTGACTACATTTATCGTCTGTTTTAGGGTGAGCAAAAACAACACCGCGGTTTGACTACGGAATTTTTTTTTTACGTGCAAGTGAAACGCAACATGCAAACTAAGATAAAAACCTGAAAAAACAATCACAAATCAGAAAAAATAATTCTTTAGGTTCCTCTTTGTATTTTCGTTGCTATTGTTTCGTTTCAGGGAATAAAGAAGTACAAGAATCGTGTCATTATAAGGGGGGGGAGTTAATTAATTTTGTGTTTCATTTGATGTTCAATTTGGAAAAAAACAAAAAAAGATATCATAGTTCAGGTCCTTTTATTATAATATTTTACGTGCATTTGCTTATGTTTTTGTTGCTGCTGCTCTGTGTTTTCTTCCATAAATAGATAGATTGCTAGATTCCTGGCTAGATTATTTCTGTCTGAATTTGATTTAAATTTCTCACGCTGCTCAAGTCAAGCATTTGCAAAACTATATTGGGAAATACTTTGCCTTCCAAAACACTGATAATTAAAACTAAAAGCTTGACAGACAGACTCTAAGTCAGTCTTATGCGTTATACAGTTGGCTATGCTTTCGTCTCATAGGAACATCTCACATATTCTAACGCCAGGATAGACTTGCACCGCGTGGTTGCATTAGCATTGTCACTAACGGAGAATATTCACTTTGTTTACCGAAGCCATACTGGAATTTACTGCATTTTGTACTTAGTTCATTTCAATACTCAAAGGAAATGGAAACTGATTAACGAAACTGACCACTTGGTTTATGACGTATAATTGACATGAAAATAAAATACATAAACAAATAAAAGGTCTTTGAATGATAAGAACATATTGTTGGCAGCAAGGAGAAAAAAAAATACAACGCAAATTCAGAGCGTGAGTTGTATTACATAATCACCCCCCCCACTCCCATTGCCCCCCCCCCCCCCGCCCCCTGCCCTCCTCCTCTTCATTCTCAGAGATATACACCTCCCTCCCCCTCCCCCGTCGCCTCCCTCCCCCGCTCCCCCACTTTTTACTTCTTATTAACAACAAATATCTTATCTCGAGGAGGAAAAGGACGCTCAAAATAACAGAAAGCCAAAGTCATTTCTTATCAGCAGCAGGAAAAATGACCACATAAAGAGCGGCTTTTTGCGTACAGCGGACGGTGGGTGGAGTTGTGGGAAGGGGGAGGAGAGCTGGGGAAGGAGGGGAGGGGGAGAGGTAGAGGAGGGGGAGGGGGAGATATGTTTGTATTTGTGGCGTGTGTGTGTGAGGCGCCCATTCATAAGAGTGGTATGACGATGACGTTTACGGGCACGTTTTCTTGTTGAGAGAGAGAGAGAGAGAGAGGATAGAGGGAGAGGGATGGATGGAGTTAAAGAAAGAAAAATGCAGGATATATAAAGTGATAGATGAATGTAAATATAAGTACAGTGCGGTGTGTGCAAACACACACATACACGCACACACGCACGTGTGAGTTTGTTTGTGTGTTGTGATGTGTGTATGTGATGTGTGTGTGTGTGTGTGTGTGTGTGTGTGTATTTATATATATATATAAT